GATGTCACCAAAGAATTGTTTTTCATGGGAACTGCATTGATGTATCATGAAAGCAAAGAATGCAGAGGAAATAAGAATAGGAACCATACCTAACTTTCAAAGCAAACATTCCTTTGAAAATATTAACCCTTGTTGGAAGAGCTATACTTTTCACTCCAAAGAAAACATTTATTTGTGCACAATCCCTATATACGTTTAAATAGCTGTAGTTTTGCTTAGCATCATTCCAATGGCCATTCAAGTGTTAGCTCACCTGCCACGTTTAGGTAAAACCTCTTAGGTGAGTCCTACTCTAACAATTCACCTTACTGCTTTTAGCTAAAAGGCAAAATCTCTAATGAGACAGAGAGGGGTATTTTTCTAAACATTTAAAATCTTATTAACCCTTAATAGGAACAAATAGGGTGGGCAGCAGCACTTTAATGTGGCTTGTAATACAAACATACAAAATTAAGCCCTGTGTTCAAACTCCCAATTACTCCTGGTTGACAGCAATGACTTTAGTACACACAAGCTCCAATACATACAATAAAAAAACAAAGAACATAGTTAGTTGTGCATTATCCTAAATCTCGCGCACATTTAAATAACTGGAGTGTTTTTTTTAGAATCATTCCAAAGGCTATTCAAGTCTAAGCTCACATGCCATGTCAAAGTAACACCTTTTTAGGTGAGTCCTACACTATCAATTCACCTTGCTGCTTTCAGCTAAAATGTAAAATCTCTAATGAGACAGAGAGGGGTATTTGTTTCTTAATCCCTAAACACTTATTAATAGGGAACACATATGGATTTTAAGCATTTTAATTTTTCATGAGCCAACTCAGCCCAATGAAGCAGGCCAGCCCAGTCATCTTGGTGGTTTGAGATACAACAGCCTAATTATGGTTCCAGGGATTTTTCTGGAATGCCATGTAAACAGATCCTGTAATACTGATCCTCCTCTCTCGCTCTCCCTTCAAGTCAGTGATATCCACATAAGTCCATCCCTGCAAGCACGCTGTCTTGGTGTCATACTTGACTCTGGTCTCACCTTTGAGTCTCACATCCAGTTTGTTGCCAAGTCCTGTAGGTTCCAACTCAAAAACATAGCCCGCATTCACCCCTTTCTTACGCAAGATGCTACTAAGGACCTTGTCCATGCTCTAGTAATTTCCCGCATGGATTACTGTAACCCTCTCCTGATTGGTCTCCCCAAAAGCCGTATTGCCCCACTACAGTCTGTAATGAATGCTGCAGCTAGACTGATTTTCCTCTCTAGTCAGTCCTCTCACACCTCACCCCTCTGCCAGTCCTTACATTGGCTCCCTGTATGCTATAGGAGTCAATTCAAAGTGCTAACCCATACATTTAAAGCACTGAACAATTCTAGCCCCACTTATATCTCTTCACTAATCCATAGATATGCCCCTCCTCGTACCCTCCGCTCTGCCCGTGACCACCTCCTGACCGCTCCTCGCACCCGTACGGCCAACTCGCGCTTGCAGGACCTCTCGCGGGTGGCTCCTCTCCTATGGAATGGCTTGCCTACTGCCATCAGACTCTCCCCTAGTCTTCAATCATTTAAGAATCGCATTAAAACCCATCTCTTCAGGAAAGCTTATGGCTTCCCAGAGTAATCTCTACCTTACATACCTGTCTCCTGCTCTCTCCTATGGGACAGTGCTTTGCTCTCTCCTCCAGCTCTGCTTCACTCCTACTTGATATTTCATGTCCTAATGTTTCTAATACCCTACCTCCTATAGTCTGTAAGCTCGTTTGAGCAGGGTCCTCTTCAACCTATTGTTCCTGAAAGTTTTCTTGTAATTGTCCTATTTATTGTTACATCCCCCCTCTCAAAATATTGTAAAGCGCTACGGAATCTGTTGGCACTATATAAATGGCAATAATAATAATAATAACTGAAGATAACTGCTAATTCTGAATAAGGTTATTTAGGAAGTGGTAGAAAATGAGCTATCTTAGAATAATGCTCTATTATCATGAGAATTACAGTACATAGCCTCATCTAAATAAATATGATTATTGTGATCAATTAGAATGACTTTGATATCTTTAGAACCTTCGATCAAGTGTCTCCATTCCCTAAGTACAAGGATGATAGTGAATAGTTCTTGGTTCCCTATATCATAATTCAGTTCTGCCTAAGATAAGTTCCTGGAGAAAAACCCACATGGATGTAAAAGCTTGTCAGAGGAATCCCTTTGTGACAGAATTACTCCTACTCCTATCTCCACTTTTAATATAGAGTTTTAACCTTTGTCCAACCTTTTTAACCCCTTCCCGACCGTGGATGTATCAAGTACGTCTGACAAAAAAGGGTCCTTAAGGACCGCGGACGTACCTGATACGTCTGCAGCTAATTAGAGCGCTGGAAGCGATCATGATTTCTTCCAGCCGCTCTAATGGTACTGCAGCAATGCCTCGTTGTCAATACCACTTCTTACTGCCGGGAGCCGGGTGATTGCCCAGCAGTTAAGCAGAGCATCGGAAGCCATCGAGCAAGAATTAAAAAAATAATAATTTTTAAAAAAATAAAAAAATGAAAATAAAATAATTAAATATATATATATTAACCCCACCCCCAGCCATGTGGCTCCCAAGATGCTGCTGCCTTTCTTCACTTGTGTTTTAGTGAGAGAGGAGAGAGGTCTGTGTTTTAGGTGGAGAAATTTAGGTAGTTTTAGGTAGGGATTTGTAAAATAGTGAGACCCAAAGGCTCTTAATCCCAGTGGCGTCTCCAGCATTCATATTTAGGGGGGGCACATGGGGGGCCAGTGACAAAAGTGGGGGGGCAATTATAAAACGTGTGTGTGTGTGTGTGTGTGTGTGTGTGTGTGTGCGTGTGCGTGTGTGTGCGTATATACATATATATACGCACACACCATACCCCATGGACAACATGTATACATTTAAAAAATCCAGATTTCCAGCAACATTGTGAAATATGCTAAAGTTTACCTACTATGTAACAATATCTCAAGGTGCCATAATGATTACAAAATTATAGTTTTTTTTTAAAATAGTATTTATTTTCAAAATAATATATAACATGCAATTTGAATGGAATGTAACTTAACATTTTTATATAAATATTTCACAAATAAAGTAAATGGTAACTTAACAGTGTATTCTCTACATTTCACAGTATAAGCATTTTAAAGTGACAGAGTCCCTTTAACAAACACCATAAAAATTTGCTTTTTAAAAGGCTAACTCCAAATTAACTTGTCTTGTAAGAAGAGCAGATTTAGCTCTACTTCCATGAACAGCTAAAACTGGTTGGCCCTTTATAATGCAAATTTAAGTATATGGATTAAATATTAATTATAACTTAAAATCACCTTTAAATTCACTATTAATCTACTAAATTGTAAACATCGTAAAATGAAGTGCAACAACTATTTTGCTCCTAAAGCATATGCAAAAATAGTTATATATATATATATATACAGTCATGGGAAAAAGAAAGTACACCCTTGCAATCTATAGTTTTACATATCAGGATATAACAATAATCTGTTCCTTATGTAAATACAACCTCAGATGAACAACAACACATAACATATTACACTGTGTCATGATTTATTTAAATAAAAATAAAGCCAAAATGGAGAAGCCATGTGTGAAAAGCTAAGTACATGTACTGCGTCCATAGGAATTAAGTAGCAGAGAGGTGCTGCAAATCAATTGCCCTTGAGTAATTGATCATCAGTAAGTGTGACCACCTCTATAAAATATAAAGTTTTATCTGGAGCATTCAGGTGTGTGCTAACACAATGCCAAGTAGGAAATACATCAGCAATGATCTCAGAGAAGCAATTGTTGCAGCCCATTAAACTGGGAAGGGTTATAAGGCCATTTTCTAAAATTTAGCCCATCATTGTACAGTGAGAAAGTTTATTCAAATGTGCAAAACATTCAGGACAGTTGCCAATCTTCCCAGGAGTGGATGTCCTAATAAATTTACTCTGAGGTCAAAGTCTAAGTTTTACATCTCAGACTCTACAAGCCTCAGCATGTTAAACCTAATTAAATTGCTGTGGCGGGGCCTTAAGAGAGCTGTGCATGAACAAATGTTGGAAAAATCTCAATAAATTGAAACAATGGTGTAAAGAAGAGTGGGACAAAATTCCTCCACAATAATATGAGAGACTGATAAAGTCATACAGAAAATTATTACTTCAAGTTATTGCTGCTAAAGTGTGGCTTCGCAAGCTATTGAATCATAAGATGGACTTTTTCACGCATGACTTCCCATTTTAGCTTTATTTTTGTTAAATAAATCATGACACAGTATAATGGGTTGTTCATCTGAGGTTGTATTTCCCTAATTTTAGGGCATGTTAGGTAACGGATGATTGTAATTATGTCCTGATATGTAAAACCATAGAATTCACACAGGGTGAATTTTTTTCCAATGACTTTATACAATATATATTTTACTCCAACAATTAAAGTGCCACGACAAAAGAAAGCAAAATATAAAGTCTCAGTTTTTGTCTTTTGCAGCATATAGAAGACATACAAGTGTACCAAACAGGCACTAGCTACCAACTAATGCACTGTAACAATTACATTGAACCAGCAAAGGGAAAAAATATGTATGACTCAATTTTGGTCTTTTACTGCTTCTTCTATTAAAAAAAAAAAAAAAAGTTTCATAGAAGTAGGTATGAACTATCCCAAACCTACCTTACAAAAAAATTAAATCTATTTTACCCTAGCGATCATGCTAGGCTGACATCTGACACTACCTGTTTAAAGCTACCGCTCTAACTTAGGGGTAATCCTGTTATTCTGTTTTTGTCCTTATTGCCAAAGTCTTGAAATAATGGAAGACTTGAGACCAATTTGTCTCACTTCATTAAGCAAATGGACCTTTAAGTCTATGTATATTGAAAAATATTTTAGTGCAACATCACAACAAACAAAAATGCAATACTATCCTTTTACTGTAAACTGTAATAAAAGTTGTACTTAAAATGTAGTCATTACCACTAATATAGGCTTAAGCGTGAGTTTTTATGGATTGATGCAAACCTGCTAACAACAATATCCATATTTATTTGGGATGCAAGTCTGGCCTCAATTGCCAATGTAGCAAGATCTGAAAGCCTTTCCTCAGTCATTGTTGTGCGTAGGAATGACTTGATTAATTTTAGTGCAGAAAAGCTTCTTTCGCATGATGCACTACTGACTGGCAAAACACAAGCTATTTTACAAAGCCGATAGAGCTCAAGGAATGGAATAGAGTAAGGCTCAAGAAAGTTTGTGAACTCGAGAACTGTGTCCACCTTAATGGCATCTGATGACTTTTTTCTTTGTAAGGTTAGCATTGCCTGCTTCAGCTCAATCTCCAAGTTTTCCATGTTGCAGGAGTAGAAATTGGCCATTGGTTGCAATTTCTCAAAATTAAGAAAATAATCAGATCGAGGATTCAGAGACTGTACACCTTCCATGATTTCCAGAGAATCCCTTGAGAAGCGAGATTTTAGTTCAGAAATTATTCTGTCAAGAACAACATACATGAACTTTTTAATGAAATCCTCTTTACTGAGCAGTTGTTGTCGATGACCTACAGTTTCCAAAATGATGCTATTTCTCAAGTGGAAAGGAGGCCGGCGATCTCGCTTTTTGGAAGGTGGTTCGGTATACTCGTCAGTTGGTGCTGGTAATCCACACTTCATGCTTAGCTGGATTGTTTCTGCCCACACATGTCCTATTGTTCCAGAATTAGAAGAAGCTTCAGGTTCACTCTCTGGATTGCACACTTCTTCAAGCTCTTGTATAATTGTTCGTACAAGAAGGACAGCTGATGCCAAGTCAAGATCTCTGGCTTGTAACATGTTAGAGAGCGTCTGGGTCCTTTTTAGTATGTTCTCAAAAAACACCAGTGCCAGAATGAAGCCAAAATCAATGAACTGGTGAATTGATTTCGCCTCAACTGCTCTCTCAGTATGGTTTCCTTCAGCTAAAATCTTGAGGGTTTCCAACAGAGGGTCAAGTGTTTTCAGAACAGCATTGCAGGCTGCATGTTGGCATGTCCACCTTGTGTCACTTAATTGCTTAAGCTGAATCACTGATTTGCTTGACATTTCTTGTTGCACATTAGTAAACACTGAATGAACTACAGAGGTACTGCAGAACACATACATCTTTTCAAGTTTCACAAAAAATTCATTTGCTGCCTGTACATTTTTTACAGTGTCCACGATGACCAGGTTGAGACTGTGACTCATACAATGAATGTATAGTGCACAAGGCACCTCCTTTTTAATGCGTGCTTGAACGCCATTAAGACGGCCACTCATTACAGAGGCTCCATCATAGCCTTGTCCAACACAATAATTTTTATCAATGCCTAGAGATGTTAGGACATGGAATATATATCCTGTTAAAGACTCGGCGTCAAGGCTATCTGCTCGGTAGAATATTAAGAACCGTTCATGGACCATCTGATTGTGAAAGAATCGGACTACGACAGACAGTTGTTCTGTTTTACTCAGATCCTTAGTTTCATCTGCAATGATGGAAAATGGACTTCCTTTAATGCTCTGTGCAATGTCTTCTCTAACAAGAGCAGCCATAATTGACAGAAGTTCATTTTGGATAGATGGATGTAGATATCTTGCATTTCTTGGTCCTCTAATTTTTTTCATGACAATGCTGTCTTTTTCTGCAATTAAATAAAGAATTTCACGTACATTTCCATGACTGACATCTGAGTTGCACCGATGTTCTCGCTGGGCAATTTTGGTCTTGGCTGTTAGCAACAAAACTTGTGCTATTGTTTTTATGTAATGTATATTTTCGTTCACCTCTCTTGTATGTGCTTTAGTTAGGTTCTTCATGATTGATGTATCCTGGCTAACACTCTTTTTGAAATCCTCCCATCTGACATAGGCATCTTTGTGTGAAGCAGACCTCTCATGCTGTAGTATTCCTTTACCTGTTACAATTGCATTTTTCCAGTTTTTGTACCCTATGTTGATAAATGGTACTTTTTTAACATGCCCGTGGAAAAATTTTGAAGTTAAAAAAAAACGGCATGGGAAACAGTACGCTGCATCCTCGGAAATAGAATACTCCAGCCATTCAAATGACTGAAACCACTGTGGTCTGAATGACCTGAAGCGTACTCCCATTTGTTTCTGTGGGTATTTTTTCAATACAGGCTGTCTTGGCCCTTCAGTAGCACACTGGCTGATATCATCTGGTCCCTGTATTGTTGTTTTTTCAGTGCTAGCAGATGATTGTGCACTCTGTGGTGGTTCAACTTCACTGAAATCCTCTTCATAAGTACTGTGTTGGATATTGCTTTGTGAGGAGGTGCTTGGCTCTTCACTCTGGAATGAAGGTTCATCATCTGATATTATTTCAGCAGTGTCATAGTCAACATCATCCTGATCCTTCTCAAACATTTCACCCTCCTCAAAGGATGAAAACGTACCAGGCTGACATTTTTCTTGTTGCGGCTTTTTTGCCATATCAGCCTTCTGGGCCTTAACATTTACCACAGAATAAAATGAACAGATATCCATTTTTGAATTATCTAAGAAGTTAAAAAAAAAAAATGCATGTTGTTCTTATGGGACACAACATTACTGAATAAACTATTAAATAAAACCAATGTTATTGCAATGTGATTTGATAAATGTAGATACAAAACCAATCATACTGTCTCATCACTAGCAATCAAAGTAACTACATGAATTAGAAAGAACATTATCACACACCTTAATAAATGTTCATTATATTAAAACGTTACCATGACAAAAATAAATTCTTTATATATTCTTTGATAAGAACAATTAAAAAAATACAATGGCACATTACTGTAAGCATAGTAGGACACATTGTGTATATATATATTTACATGTATACACATATCAGATACCTATGTATACACATATGTACATATACACACACACATATTTTATAAAGCATTAGCTCTGTACAAACCAAACAGAAGAAACAGGTTTATTCACTTGACAGTAAATTGCTAAATTCTTCGCAAAATTGGGATGATTATATTTAGTCTATAAATCCCATACCTTTACCTCTAATTACACTTGTGTACAAGATATATTTCTAGGTGCAATGGTGACGTCTTACCATTTCTATATGCAAGGAGGATGAGATATATAATCTATGGCTCTAGATTAAATTATCTTTACAATTAAATTTGTCTATTCTTTATGGCCAAAACAAACAAACAAGCATGGGATTGGCAGATGATGCCATTTTACTACCGTTTTCACACCTAGATTAGATTATTCCAGGTTTGAATATTCACTGACATGTTAGCATTTATATTTTGGTAACTCTAAAGATCATGAGCACCCAAACTGCAAACACAGAACTTGCCCCTGCAGCCAGATTTCAATTTTAAATAGAAAAACAAAACATATAAAAATAAAAATACTTTTCTAAATTTCAGCCACGCATACCTCTTAAATTGATGACAAGGTTGACCAAATAAGTAGCTGTCAGGGCTTTTTCGCCTTGTCTGTGCTGTGGCTTCAAAGCCAGGGCCTATTTTAATGATAAATTTACACTGCATGTTAAATCATCATTATAAGGTCGCCCAAAGCACTGCACTATTATTATTTCTGAATAGGGAAATTGCATTTTAAACAAAATTGAAAAATACACTGTTCATATACTGGACACAAATAAAAAAGGACATAGGGCTTTAAATTTGCTCCTCATTCATAACCTGCCTGCTGTTTAGGGGCAGAGAAGGCAACGCCACATCGTCATCAAGCTGTTTGGGGACATAAATAGCACCGGCAAACTGAGGGCAGAGATGACTCTCAGTCCCATTTGCATTCCCCCCCATCAACTAGAGTAGTGTGGTCTGCATGGGGGAGACACAGTAATCTGACTAAATGACTTTAAGTGTTTAAAAATGGATGATGGGCATTTTCAAAACATAAATCTCATTGCCACTGTTTTTTTTGTTTTTGTTTTTAAATAATCCTCATCATCCAATTTTTAGCTCTCCAAGTCATTTAGTCATATTAGCATTATTCAGCCCAAATCATTCAGTCCACACTCACTTCAACAATTGATGTAGGTGTGGGATAATGTTAATGTGACTGAATGACTTGAAGAGTTAAAAATGGATGATTATTATAAAAACCTGTCAGTTTAAACCTTTCATTATTCAATACCCCAGATATTTCTGGTTTGAAACAGTTCACACCAATAAAGAAAATAGCTACTATCCCAATATCCTACCAAAGAAAATGGCTACTATCCCATTATCCCAACAAAGTAAATGGCTGCTGCGCAAGCTGCAATAGACTGCCATCATGTCAATGTAAAATTTATTATATGCAGTCTACCATGATAATATAAAACTCATCTCTTCATGAATGAATGAATAAGATTAATACAATAAAGAGATGCGCTTTATATCATAGCAGACTGCATGTTATGAATTTTACATTGTCATGTCATTGCATTCTAATGCAACTTTGCAACATACATTGTGCACAGTAGCCATTTTCTTTATTGATGTGAACAGTTTCAAATCAGAAATACCTGGGTTATTAAATAAATTAATAATAAAAGCCCCTGGACTTTTTGCCTCCAAGCTACGCCCAGTAAGAGATAGACACCTTTAACCCCTTAAGGACCAAACTTCTGGAATAAAAGGGAATCATGACATGTCACACATGTCATGTGTCCTTAAGGGGTTAAAGTAAAGAACTATACTGTAAAAATGAAACCTCTTTTTCATTGAGGCTATGTGTGTCAAGAGCTGCAAAAAAAAAAAAGTGTTTTAACTCCTACATGATTTACACACCAAAACTTAAAGAAAATTTAAAGGACCACTATAGGCACCCAGACAACTTCAGCTCAGTGAAGTGGTTTGGGTGCCAGCCAGGTCCCCTGGTTTAAAATCTGCAGCTGAAAACTTATTCTGCGATTTACATGGAGTAAATCATGCTTTCCTATGCTGAACTTATTTGACACTGGACAACCTCACGGAGTCCAGCGAGCGTCAAATAAGATCCGCATAGGAAAGCATTCGGCTACACTGTGGATCTGACATCGACGGGGAAGGAGAGGTCACCAGCACCGAGGGAGCCCGGCGCTGGATTAAGGTAAGTGTTAAAACCCCTTCAGCGACGAGGTAGGGGGGCACTCCAAGAGCCTATAGTGCCAGGAAAATGGGTTTGTTTTCTTGGCACTATAGGATCCCTTTAAATGTGTGCCCTGACCTGTATAAATGTTGGTGAATCCATTACCAACACAAACTAAAACTAACTTGTTTCATTGTTATACGCACAATATGTAATCCTGGGTACATACATATGATTTATTCAAAAGTTTAAATTAAAGTTTCACGTTACTTACAGTAGTAATGCCACTGTCTGAAGTGTCCGCTCCGCTCGCTCACTCCCTCTGCAAACTGCAATCTCAGGTAGGTAAGAAGGTGTAGCCGCACTGTCCACAGTCCACTCCACTTGTTCCCTCTGCAAAATGCAATTTTAGGCAGGTAAGGTTTAGCCGCACTGTTCGCTCCACTCGCTCCCTCTGCAAACTGCACTCTCAGGTAGGTAAGGTTTCACACCTTACGTGTGGCTGCACTGTAAACTGTCTACAGTCTCCGGTAAGTAAGGCTCCTCTTTACCTGCTTGCTCTGCTCCCCTCTACTTACTCTGCTCCCCCTTTCTTGCTCTGCTCTCTGCTCTGCCTTACTTGCTCAGCCCCCTTACTTACTCTGCTCTCTGCTCTGCCTTACTTGCTCAGCAACCCCTTATTTGCTCAGCCCCCCATTATATGCTCACCCACCCCCTTACTTGCTCACCCCACCCTTATTTGCTCAGCCCCCCCTTACTTTTTCATTCCCCCTTATTTGTTCAGAGCCCTTACGCCCATCCCCCTTATGCTCAGTCTCAGGCCCCCACCTTGCTCAGCATCAGCGCCCTTATATGCTCAGCCCCCACCCCTTATATGCTCAGGGACCCCCAGACACATATACTCTCAGGGACCCCTACCTTGTATCCCACAGCCCCCAACTTATATGCTCACCCACCCCTTACTTGCTCACCCCACCCTTATTTGCTCAGCCCCCCTTACATTTTCATTTCCACCTTATTTGTTTCAGACCCCTTACTTGCTCATCCCCATGCTCAGCCTCAGGCCCCCTACTTGCTCAGCATCAGCCCCCCTCCTTATATGCTCAGCCCCCACCCCTTATATGCTCAGGACCCCCAGACACTTATACTCAGGACCCCCACCCCTTTATATCCTCAGCCCCCTTATATGCTCAGGACCCCCCTTATATGCAGGACCCCCTTATATGCTCAGGAACCCCTTATATTTATGCTCACCCCTTATATGCCTGGGACCCTTATATGCTCACCCACCCCCTTATAAGCATTAGGACCCCCCTTATATCTATGCTCTCCCCTCTATATATACCTAGGACCCCTTATATATGCTCCACTTATGTACCCCCCCCTAATATGCTCACACCTTATGCAGCACTCACCCCCCTTATATCTATGCTCAGCCCTCCTTATAAACCCAGGACCCACCCCTTATATGCTCACACCCCATTATGCTCACCCCTTATATCTATGCTCAGCCCTCCTTATAAGCCTAGGACCCCCCCTAATATGCTCACCCCCTCTTATATGCTCAGGACCCCCTCATTCCTTTTCCTTACTTACTGTGCTGTTTTCTCCTCTTGCTCTTCTTCTCTGCTCACTGCTTCCCTGCTTTGCTCTGATTTTCAGTTTCTTCTTTGTTCTTCTTCTTGCTCTTCCTCCCTCTTATGCTCTGCCGCTCTGCGCGGCTGCCTCTGAGGTGTACGCCGCTGCGCCGCAATGTGCGCTCGCGCTCCGCTCCCTCCCTCTCTATGATGGGAGGGCTGAACTTCTCCTGACCCTGAGGTCAGGTCACACTGTGGGTGGCGACAGACAGTCTGCCTCTGGCGGACACGTGCCGCCTGCCGCCGCCCGCCGGAATTCTGAAAACATTACCAGGGAAGTTCTGACAGAGGTGAGACTCTCCCTCGCGGCTGTCAGAACTTCCCTGATAATACAAACAGCCGGCCGCGCTGGCTGACTCAGCCAGGCAGATAGCAGCCTGGCTGGCAAATTGGCAATTACACTTTACCACTTCATATGTTTAATTTAAATTGGGGGGGCACAAGGGGGGCACAGCCTGATCTAGGGGGGGCCATGGCCCCCTCTGGCCCCCCCCTAGCGACGCCACTGCTTAATCCCTATCTTGCCAGTCATCACTATAATCACTGGCTCTTGCACAGCAGCACTTTTATGCTGTCTGCATTTTTTCAATGGGTTCATTTTTTGTGATTTTATTTTTCTTGTGACAGATCATGTCAGTGTTTGTGATCATGTCACAGAGGTCACCGAGGTCGTATAGCACAGAGGAGGCGTATGCCATCCTTGCGTTAGAGTCTGACGCGTCTGTGTCTGACCACACCCTGATTTTGACCCTGCCAGGTGCTCAGATACATCACTAGATGCAGTGTCTGCTGCTAGTGATGTATCTAGTTATGATGTATCTGTGGCTGCTAGTACTCCTGCCAGAAGGAGACGTGCTGCTCCAGCTGGCAGTACTGCTGAGGAGTGTGTAGTGACTCATCGCCACAGACAAGATATCCCACCCTTCACTGCAAATCCTGGCTTCAATGTGGATGTCGCAGGATTTACCCCTCAACAGTTTATGGAGGTGCTTCTAGGCGATAGTGTTTTGGGGAACATTGTCGCTCAAACTAATTTATATGCCAATCAGTTCCATGATGCAAAGCCTGACTCTTTTTTGGCAAAGCAGCAATGGGACCCCATCGATGTGCCAGAATTAAAAAAAAATCTGGCATCATAAAGAAGCCCTCCATCTGCTCCTACTGGAGCAGTAGCCCCATCTGCTCTACCCCAATTTACTACCAGTGTATATCGAGGAAGAGGTATGAAATGATTCTACATTTCATGCACTTCAGCAACAACAGCCTGTGCCCCCATAGGGAGCATCCCCAGTTTGACAGGCTGTATAAAATCCGGCTATCCTAACTATAAGATAAGGCCAAGGACTAATGAAAGTATTTAGAAAATTGGGCAGACTAGATGGGCCAAATGGTTCTTATCTGCTGTCACATTCTATGTTTCTATGCAAAGACTGACTAATGGAGAGGAGATGCATCTATTTATACCAATTTCAGAGTTATGTCTCCTGTTCTTTTTTTTTTTTTTTTGAGATGAGGAGAAAACCCATATGTAAATGCTGCCATGTGTAATGATCAGGAAAAGAAAATTATGGAAAGTATAAAACAATTTTCCATGTTCTGAGTGTGCTGCCTGGCACTCAGGATTTCTATATGACCACTACACAACTGCAGCACCAAACCAAAAGCACCCCCAAAAGAACAGGGTTTTACTCTCCCCTTCGAACACTGCCGCATAAAGAAAAAAAATACAGATAAAAGGTCTATGCTACCCCAAATTCCTACAAATATATAATGTCTCACTTGGACTTTTGGTAGCTAGAAGAGTATAAAAAATAAAAATACAAACCCGTAATTTTGTCAACTAATATACCAATGCACATAGGGTTTTTTAAAGAAACCACTGTAAGTTAAATATAAAGCACTTTTAACATTTGTGGGACACAACATTTGGTAGCAAATATGTAGGATTAATGAGTTACATATGTTTCATATTAAACTATCTCAAAGCTAACAGATGACAATATATAACTACATTGTTTTACATAAAATGATTTTCAGATTCAACAAGTTCCCTCCAGTTTAGCTGCATTTGAATACAGCATGAGAGAGCAGAAATAAATAGTGTAAATAGATATTTTCCATGGTTCTTTCTCACAACTTGTTATCCACTTCTCATAAATATATATATACTACTTTTTAATTCTTGGTCTGATACCAAGTTTACAAAATAGTATAGGTGCAACATTGTAGCACTGAGATCTTAAACAGAGCTTAACTAGAATACTTACATTGTGAACTTGCATGTGCTTAAAGAGACACAGGGTATTTGGTGTATGTACTAGTAAATAGTGTGATCCTTCTTAGAGAGATACTCAAAGCATTTTGAGTATAGGAAATCACTTCCCATGATGTTTGATGTATATTTTTTGCTCTCAACAAATGCTCCCATTTTTACCTGTCAGTAAAATGAAAAGCAAAGGAATTTCCCATATACGCTCGAGTATAAGCTGAAAAAGCCCCCCTCAGCTTATACTCGAGTCACTGTCTGTATTATGGCAACTTACATGGTTTGCGTGCCCGTGGCAACGCTCTGACGGCCGCGGGTCTCTCAAGACTTACACTGTGAGCTGAACGGAGGTAACCAGAGCTGCTGTAAAGGTAACAGCTTGCTGCCGGCCCCCAACAGGACCGCCGGGCTTGTAATGAGCCCGGCGGTCCTGTTGGGGGCCGGCAGCAAGCTGTTACCTTTACAGCAGCTCTGGTTACCTCCGTTCAGCTCACAGTGTAAGTCTTGAGAGACCCGCGGCCGTCAGAGCGTTGCCACGGGCACGCAAACCGCGAGATTTACACTGTGAGCTGAACGGACGTGACCCGGAGCTGCTGTAAAGGTAAGTAACAGCTTGCTCCTGCCCCCCCCCCCCTGCATAACCCATGCCAATGGACCACCAGGGAATGTTACAGCCCCCCTCCCTGGCCAGGTAACAAGCAGAGAGGGGGGACAAAAAAAAAATTAACAATTACATTTTAAAACATTAAAATAATATCAAAATAAAATAAAAAAATAGATACAATAATAATATTAAAATTATAAAAATGCCCTCCCCCCACCCAGTTTAAACACACTACACAAACACACACACAAACTCTGCATTATATACACACACACACTCTGCATTATATACACACAGAGTGTGTGTGTATATAATGCAGAGTGTGTGTTTGTATAAGTGTGTGTGTGTATAACGCAGTGTGTGTATATAATGCACACACTCTGCATTATATACACACACACTCATACAAACACAAACACACTCTGCATTATATACACACATACTCATAAAAACACACACTCTGCATTATATACACACACACAGTCTGCATTATATACACACACTGCATTCATACAAACACACATTCTGCATTCATCATATACACACACTGTAAATAAATATTCAATTAATCTCATTTTATTGGTGTAACGGCACCCCCAGGCATAAAAGGGTTAAACCACCGTTTAGAAGATCTTCCCCTTCCACAGACACAGGCAGCTACTGTACAGACCAATCCACCGAACCGGAGAACAATATGAATGCTGTAAACAGCCGAACCGGAACCATACGAATGCTGTAAACAGCCGAATAGGAAAAACCATATGAATAGGTTTACACTCCTAGCAGTCAAACTGGAACAGCATATAATAAATCCCCCCAAGAACGAGACAAGGCTCCGTTTTGAGGGTCAAGCAGGAACAGTCAAAGCTGTGGGTTTATTGTTCTTATATACACATTAGTACCACCCACAGGGTTTTGGAACACAACCAATAAACACATACAATACACTCAGACACTCCCACACAAAATCCTCCCCTCTGCCTGTGATTCAATTACCTTACACAATGGGTAATGTAATTATAACAAGCAGAGAAATACAATTTTTCCACATTATTCATAACTTGAAAAGTTTTCAGAATCGGCATACTCCAAATACAAACATATGTCAAAATCATCCAGATTGGTCCAGTGGTTCACAAGATAGATCGTAGTCCATTGTGACCAAAGGAAGCATGGCTTTTCTGCCCAAAACCAGTTCCACAGAGTCTTCTATCCTAGAGATAATTTGGAAGTAATCCAATTATCTCCAAGGACAGAGGCAAAACTCCATTGAACACATGGCAGCAAAAGACAATAAAACACATAAAAACATATAACTGTGCAGCCATTGCACAAAACAGGTACATTCAACATATCCCCAGATAGCTCAGATCTGAGCGCACATTATTACTGAATGGTGCTCAGAGCACACACATACAGTTCAATTGCCATGGAGCCAAAGTCTTTCCCATAGTCTTTTATTATACGAATGGGCTCCATGGCATAGCTATCTGGGGTATCACCGCTCAAACAGGGCAAGCACCAAATGACCCGGCTTTCATGTCTTTGCAGGGGAAAATTAAGCCTTTTAACATGGGGCCATAATCCAAAGGCAACAGGCGAGCAACCAGGCTTCTCCAATGCAATGTGGCGAGATTGTTCTCGTCACAATTGGGATCTAATTTTATTTAGAAATTTACCAGTAGCTGCTGCATTTCCCACCCTAGGCTTATACTCGAGTCAATACGTTTTCCCAGTTTTTTTGTGGTAAAATTAGGTGCCTCGGCTTATATTCGGGTCGACTTATACTCGAGTATATACGGTACTCTTTCCAATATTGCATAAAATGCAAGCCCTAAAAATAATGCTATAAATTCAATCATGCAAAAACCAGACTATGAAAATAATAACTATAATAAATAATAGAACAAAAATGAAGTTAGTGGTAGTGATTAGAGTTGAGCAGACACCTGGATGTTCGGGTCCGGCGGGTTCGGCCGAACTTTGAAAAAAAATCCAGGTTTGGGCTCAAACTTGACCCCGAACCTGAACCCCATTGAAGTCAATGGGGACCCGAACTTTTGGGCCCAAAAATGCCTCTAAAAAAACTCATGGAAAGGGCTAGAGAGCTGTAAAAGGAAGTAAAATGGGAGTACGAGAAGGGCAAGGGCCCTGCAAACAAATGTGGATGAGGAAATCCTTAAAAATAACAAACATTAAAAATACATCTGAGCCATAAAAAAGCACTAGATGGAATCTTTGATTTTAGATTTGGAAGAACATAAATCAAAATCTAAAGCATGGCTGTCAGGAGGATCACCAGAATTATCCATTTGAGAGAGGGTTGGAGTGCAGGGTATTCTCTTTCATTGTTCAAACTGAGCTCAACTCCTGATGCATGGAGAAATGGCCTTCACAAGCCTCTGCTAAAGTGTACATAGTTTATACTAAGTGACCCATAGGTTGAGGAAGCGGTGACCATTGTGGTGTAGGTGGAAGCAGCGGTGGAGGAGGAGGTAGCCAACACTGTTTTTTATATATCTATTTTTTTATTTTAATTGGGGTAGCCCCCAAAATATTGGGACATATAAAAAAAAGAAACATTTGCGGCCTGTGGTGCATTTCTTGCAGTCCTCATGCATGGAGAAATGCTCAACTCCTGATGCATGGAGAAAAGGCCTTCACAAGCTTCTGCTATTGTGTACATAGTTTATACTAAGTGACCCATAGGTTGAGGAGGTGGTGACCATGGTGGTGTAGGTGGAAGCGGCGGTGGAGGAGGAGGAGGTAGCCAACACTCTTTTTTATTTTTTTTATTGGGGTAGCCCCCCAAATATTGGGACATATAAAAAAAGAAACATTTGCAGCCTGTGGTGCATTTCTTGCAGTCCTGATGCATGGAGAAAAGGCCTTCACAAGCCTCTGCTATTGTGTACATAGTTTATACTAAGTGACCTATAGGTTGAGGAGGCGGTGACCGTGGTGGTGTAGGTGGAAGCGGCGGTGGAGGAGTAGGATGAGGTAGCCAACACTTTTTTAAAAATTTTTTTATTGGGGTAGCATTTACTGTCCACACAGGAAAAGTTGTGCTGAGCAGCAACCAAATCCAGAGAAGGGTTAATGCTGAGCAACAATTATGCAAATGGAAACCTGCTAACTGCCTTTGGGGTCAAAGGCCGGTTACAGCCTATCAGATCTAGAGGAGGGATATTTAGGCCCAGTTCTCATCCTGCTCAGTGCCCTGTCGTGGTTTTCCTTGTTGTTGTCCGAGAGTGTGTTCCTGATTCAAGTTTCTTCTGGTTTTTGACTTTGGCTTTGATTTTGACTTCCCTATATTCTGTATCCCTGACTTCTGGCTTTCTCTTATCGTTGTGTCTCTTTCTGTGTCCCCTGACCTCGGCAAGTATCCTGACTATTCTTTGGTAAGTTAAGTCTGGCCATTCTAAGGCCCGGTAATACATTACCTATTAGTCATGTGTGTGGCACAATTCTACATGCTGGATCAACTAGTAATCCTGACACCGTGGCGATGTAGATGGAAGCGGCGGTGGAAGAGGAGGATGAGGTAGCCAACACTGTTTTTTATATATCTATTTTTTATTTTAATTGGGGTAACCCCAAAATATTGGGACATATAAAAAAAGAAACATTTGCGGCCTGCAGTGCATTTCTTGCAGTCTTGATGCATGGCGAAATGCTCAACTTCTGATGCAGGAGAAAAGGCCTTCACAAACCTCTGCTATTGTGTACATGGTTTATACTAAGTGACACATAGGTTGATGAGGCAGTGACCGTGGCGGTGTAAGTGGAAGCGGTGGAGGAGGAGGTAGCCAACACTGTTTTTACTTGTTGTTTTTTTTTTTTAATTGGGGTAGCCCCCAAAATATTGGGACATATAAAAATAGAAACATTGCGGCCTGTGGTGCATTTCTTGCAGTCCTGATGCATGGAGAAATGCTCAACTCCTGATGCATGGAGAAAAGGCCGTCACAAGCCTCTGCTATTGTGTACATAGTTTATACTAAGTGACCTATTGGTTGAGGAGGTGGTGACCGCGGTGGTGTAGGTGGAAGCGGCGGTGGAGGAGGAGGATGAGGTAGCCAACACTGTTTTTTATATATCTATTTTTTATTTTAATTGAGGTAGCCCCAAAAATATTGGGACATATAAAAAAAGACAACTCTGTTCCGCAGAGTAGCTGTTGACATTATAGTTGCGCAGGCACTTTGTTGACTCTAGAGAACTTCGGGCCAATCGCACATCCCTGTGATGGTGACTTTGCATTTGGATGTCATCCATATCAACTTTCGATGCCAGTTTCTGCGCCTACTATGGTGACCACGGGTAACGTGGAATCAGGGTTCCATTCCATACAGGGACCCTGAGAAATGTCTACCATATGCAAGGAAGGCAGCAGGCGCGCAAATGACCCACTCCCAACGCGGGAAGGTAGTGATGACAAATAATATACAGGACTCTTTAGAGGCTCTGTAATTGTAATGAGTCCACTTGAAATCCTTTAACTCTGATCAATTGGAGGGAAGTCTGGTGCAGAGCCGCTGACCCGTGCGTGCTGCAGCTGAAACTCCACTATCGCCTTCTGCTGCTCAAACAGTCTCTCCAGCATGTGTAAGGTGGAGTTCCACCTTGTGGGCATGTCACATATGAGGCAGTGAGCGGGAAGGCCAAACTTATGCTGCAGCGCAGACAGGCAAGCAGCAGCAGGGTGAGAATGCCGAAAGCGTGCACAGCCGCTACAGTGAATGTCACATCCTGTTCCAAATTGCGGATCAGTCTGGTGATGGTTTCTGGTATCCAGTACTCTTTTTACTGAAGCTGCATTAGGGTCCTGGTATGTGGCCACACAAACGCTGGTTCTCAACACCAGGGGGCGTGCAGTTACTCTGCACCAGACCCTGCTAATCCATTCCACACTGTGACTCCTAACTTCAACATCAGGCATACTGGGTTGCGGTCATCTGACCGCCGTCCAGACAGTGTCTGGGTCCCGGTCACCGGAGTGCCCACCTGACTGTGAAACTAGGAATGGATCATTAAATCTGGTATGATCCCGAACTTTGCTTATAGATCCTTTGATCGCTACATGTATTACTTGGATAACTGGTAATTCTCAAGCTAATACATGCCGACAAGCGCTAGGACGGCCACTCCGCTTTTGCACCCTGCTTCCTCTTATGCTGTGCTGGTGCCTCTGTGCGACCAGCGCCTCTTCCTCCAAACTGCACACGTCACTTGCATGACCTTGATTCCCTGTGGGGTCTAGGACCTCATCATCCTCCACATCATCTTCCACCCACTCCTCAACCCTGCACTCCTTGCCGGTATGCACACTGCAGAAAGCCACAGCAGTTGGCACCTGTGTTTTTCCAGCATGTAAAGTCTGCAAAGGACAAATGGAAATTGTTTTAGAATTGTATCCAGGCAACAGTTTTCCCTATAAACTGACCTCTCAGTTTGACTTGTGAGGGTATTGCCCCAGAATTACAATATTGTTGAAGTACCTCTTAGCTATTGATAACTGGTTTAAATAAAGCAGCTTGTTATCTGGTAGTTTCTAGTGTAGAAAATATCAATCTGTTTTCTATCACTTAGATCTGTGTAACAAGCGTTGTAGGTGTGAAACAATATTACAAGTGACCAATGTAGTCACTTTGAATCAAAGTTATGCTTCGATTTGACTCTCAGATATGAAGTGCAGGCCACAAATGTACTATTTAGCAGATTAGCACCCAGAAAATAAGAATTTTTACTACTGCGCAGTAAGCGCACAATTTGACGCTTCTATTTGACTCTCAGATATGAAGTGCACCGCAAGCCTCAAATGTACTATTTAGCAGCTTAGCAGCAAAACATTTAGAATGTTTACAACTGAGCAGTAAGAGCACTATTTGATGCGTCTATTTGACTCTCAGATAAGAAGTGCACACCCCAAATATTGTGGGGATATTTATGGGGTGATAAATATTAAAAATAATATTTTCATAAAAATTATCAAAAATTTAATTTAATAATTTTTACTATATCAAAATTGATATATTGAGAATTACCCACTATTTTAATTCTCATAGATACTAGAGAACATCATTTTCCATACCATTAAATCACAATTTCTATTATAAAAATAGAAAAGCTATAAAATCTTGGCTCACAGTTAGATCACTTGGTTAACTCTTTCAATGCTGGCTAAATCCTCCTAGCTATCTAATAGTCTATTCTCAAGCAATTTTCAATTAAAATAATGTTCATAACCATTCCTAGAACCATCCAATAAAAAACAAATCTACCAGATTTAACTTTAGCAGAATTATAATTTGACTAAATAGATATACTATCTTATTTCAGAGCAAATCAATACATATGGATAAAAACCATGGTATGCTAACACGTGATAAAAATATAAGTAATATATAATTATCTTGATTCTACCTGCAGAATGGAATGTTTATAACTATATATTCTTTGGTTAACTAAGATTTCTCAATTATTAATCCATGCATGTATTCTGCTATTAATAAATGTTTAATTAATTTAGATTAATTAAATAAAACCATCATAATTACCAGTTATGTAGATGCTCTTATCAGATGAGTAGGTAGTCCCAGGAATGAATGGAAGTGTGGTTAATGTTTGTAAGGAGGTGTGCATGATAGCAAAAGTGATATTGGTTAGAAAGTAATAGTAAACTTCTAAGTGTCTAGGAAGTGTTTCTTGAGTTGTGTCCAAGAGAGTTTGAGAGTTGAGTGTTAGTCCCAGAGTGTCCTGAATCTCTCTCCTGGATCTTTGTGAATGTCCGAATCTGAATCTGAATGTGAATCTGAATGTCCCTCTTCCCTTTGTTCCTAACTTCTTAAAGGGCCAGACTCTCTGTACGTCATTAGTTGATAAGGCCAATAGGACAGTGAAGGTGTGGTCAACTCACAGACCACAATTTTGATTTTGGTCAGTCGGTGGCGCCCTTTCATCACCAAAATTTTGTGTCCCGAAAAAGGTTAACTTATTCTGATGACAATTCTGACGTAATTTCTTTATCTATTTTATGACGGCTTAACTTAATTTGTCTGCCAGTTCAAAGTTGGGTTTTCTTCAGACAGAGCATCGACAATTCCTGTTATATATCTACTTTCTGACATGCCTAAACTTAAATTCACCCTATTTTATACAATGGGACTAGTGATGTCGCGAACCCGAAATTTTCGGTTCGCGAACGGCGAACGCGAACTTCCGCAAATGTTCGCGAACCGGCGAACCGCCCGAAACGCCATTGACTTCAATGGGGAGGCGAATTTTAAAACACACAGGGACTCTTTCTGGCCACAATAGGGATGGAAAAGTTGTTTCAAGGGGACTAACACCTGGACTGTGGCATGCCGGAGGGGGATCCATGGCAAAACTCCCATGGAAAAGTACACAGTTGATGCAGAGTCTGGTTTTAATCCATAAAGGGCAGAAATCACCTAACATTCCTAAATCACAATGGATATGGATTGACACCTGACATATTGACACCTTGACATATGGATTGACACCTGTCCTCAGAGACCATGATACACACTGACACAGAGCAGAATAGGGACTGTTTCCCCTACATCGGGTCACTTGGCAGATATGGATTGACACCTTGTTACAAACTGCTATTTGTAACGGGCCCTTTAAATGGCAAATTGCCCTGTTTCCCTGGGTTGTGGAGAAGCCTCTTTGCCAGCCTCCTCCCGCATGACTATGGCCCCTGGAGATTGTGAAAATGTATGCACTTTTATTTGGTGTGTATGGCCCTTTAAGACTGTCGGTGGGCATATTGGGGCTTATGGACTCTTTATGTGACTGGTGCTGGCCCTTTAAACACCTTTTTGGGACATCAGGAAGATTGGGACACTGCCCCTTTAAGGCCGTGTCCCCCAGACTTGTTGGGGACACGGCCCCTTTAAGACGGTGTCCCCTGTGTCCCCAGACCTGGTGCAAACCCTTTGTGCCTGCTTTGCTATTTCCCACTTGGTTCAGTAAATGGGAAATTATTTCGAGACTAAGTCCCAGTAT